CAGCTGGGGCCACCCTCGGTGCCATGAGGTCGCCCGGCCCCCCCGCAGGGACCCCGGGAGTCTGCGCCCGGGATTCCACCGGGTCGGAGTTCCCGGGGGTACAGCGACCCCACAGATCCGCTGGTGGGTCCAGGGGCAGGCGGCGCCTCTCAGCAGCCAGGCGGCGGGTGTAGTAGGGGGAGGCACAGGGCGCGACGGGCGCGGGGCGGGCGGCGGCCGACATCGTCAGCTTCTCCAGCTTGAGGCGCCCAAACTCCTCGTCGGGAAGGTGGAAGTCCTTGACGTCGAACTGGGAGAGCAGCGAGCGCAGGCGGAGCACGCCGTCGCCGAGACCAGGCAGCCGCGGGCTGCCCTGCGAGGGACGGGACAGTGGGCGGAGGGCCCTGCACGGCCCTCTGGCTAGAGGGGAGCACCCCACGTCTGCAAAGGAGAAACGCAGAGACCAGTCTTAGCTGTTAACAGTGTCAGCAAGCAATTTACTGGGGATTCTCATATTGCAAGCAGTTTTGAAAACGAATTAATATAGACCTTGGACATACAGTAATGCCTAATACAAAACCCTGCAGGTCACAAAACTATGGATAATTCATTGATTCAAAGTTTACTTTCTTTTTAAGCCACGGGACAACTTTAGATGCCAGATTTGTACAGTCTATATCTTCACAAGCACTGGGCATGTAGGCCAGTGTAGTTTTCTAACACTGCTCGCTCATTTCTAAGACGATAAGGACGTTAATTAGCGTGCTCTGAAAAAGAGGAAACCCATCCGAAAGTGGCGTCAGTTCCAGTATCCTGGGTATAGGATCCCAGAGCGTTAAACAACGGCAGTGAGCTCTAGACCTCCACAACTCTTTGTGTAAAGATTTTTCTACTTCACTTCGAACTCCACCCTAGCAAAGCGAAAGAGAACAATCCCATCGGGAAAGCTCTAGGTATGACTGAAATATAACTCCGCTACCTCCTTTTAGCTGATCCATTGCAATACTCTGCAAACCACTGTGCTCTTGCTCCTGGCTGTTGGCTGGCTTACACTTGCCCTGGAAGATGGGATATAACTCCGTTTTAGTTTTCCCAGAATGGGAATCTCCAGGCGATCCCCTGCTCCCAGAAGCTGGGGGGTTTTCAGAACCCCAGTGAGGGAGTGGTCCCAGTTCTGATTTTTGGCATGGCACTCTTCCTCGTCCCTTCCCTCTGGCGGGCCTCATGACTCTGGCCGTCTTGGGCTTGGTGGCCACACCCCCCGGGGTTGCAGGCGAGGACAGCGCCCCCTGGCTACCCCCGGGCTCTGACGCCAAGTGGCCAGAGCTGGTCGGACCCGTGCCTGTGTGCGGTCCAGACGGCGGGGCAGGGGAAGAGCCCTGGCTGTCCTGCCCTGGGCTAGCCTCCTTCCTCGCCCCGCGGACACTGCTGCTGCTCCTCCTCCTCCTCCTCCTCCTGCCCCAGCTCAACTGGCTCTCGATCACGGCCTCCAGGTCCACCCTGCTCTGCGAGGAGGCCATGCGCCGGGTGGTCCGGACGTAGTACTCCACGGGGAAGAGCAGCCCCTCGATGAGCGTGCACGAGCCCAGGGCTCCAGCTCCTGCAGAATCCTGGGAAGGAGGAGGGAGCCAGTCCGCGGAAGTGGTTTTTCCCTGCTTAGGACCCTCCTTCTCCGACCTCGAGATCCCATTTGGCAACCCTGACTCTGTCGCTTTGGTCTCGCAGGGACCCGGGGCTGGAGTACAGTCAGGCTGTGAGGCGCACTGATCTTGCCCTGTCTGCTCGATTAGCGTCTGAGTGTCCACACCCTGGCTGAGGTCTTCGGGGCTCGGCAGAGGAACCCCGCCACGCGCGCTGTTGCTGGGAGGCTCCCCCAGATCGCCGAGCAAAGACCCATTCTCCCTCAGATGGCTCTGCAGTCCTCCAGCCTCCCTGTCCCCTCTCCCCCAGC